TTTTCTCTACTTCTTTCTGAGTAAAAATATTCTTTTCATACTCTAATTTTACATAGGATACCATTTTGGTCTCTTAAATCTATAAAGTATATTTCAAATTCCTCAATTTCAATACTATTAATCTTGTTAACTGTTAAAAATGTCAACCTAACAAATCCAAAAGATGGCTTTGCAATTAAATCCCCAGTTTGAAAAGTGGGGGAACTGGAAAATGGGTGGGCCAGGCTATATGGGCCTGGGCCATAGCTCCGTTGCATCAAATTTGAGTGTTTTCCGACCTTTGTTGATCGGGTTTTAGAGTTCCACCAAGAACCCATTTTATTTTAATTTTTTATCTGAAAATTTTTTTAAAAAAAGAAGTTTTGAGATATGAAATTTCAACTCAAACGGCTAATACTTAAAAACGACATTGGAGAAAGTAAGGCATGAATTGAGATTTCGAAAATGTTATGAAATTACCTATATGTTCTTATAGTATATAAATGAAATTAATAAAACTGAAAATGACAAGTGTTGAACTAGTAATGACAAGTTTCATAACATTTTTTTTTGCTTTTTTATTAATTAATAAGTTGTAAAATGAAAGTGACAAGTGTTGAATGGGCATAGAACTAGAAATGACAAGTATTAAACTGGAAATAACGAGTTTCATAACTTTTTGTTTTGTTCTTTATTATTTTAGTTAGTTAATTAATAAGTTGTAAACTAAAAATAACAAGCGTTGTATTTGTGGGAATGGTTTTCTGAAGAGTACAAGAAGAAGAGATGAAGAAGAAAGTGGTGCACGAAGTCTTTAAAGCGTGGGCAGCACTTTCCTTTAGGCTTAATTCACCCATACCTATTCCTATCTTTTAGGGTGCAAGTTGGGTTGACTGACGAACTTCCTTAAGGATACAATGAAGACCTTTGAATATGGATTGTACTTTCAAAATTCAAATAAAGACAATAATGGCTTTTACAAAGTGATAATTTGACCCCATCTCTGCATGCACTCAAAGACAAAGGCAATGAGTTTGATCTTAGTGTTTGTGTTGTGTTTTCTCCAAATGAAGTGATAGTGAAGGGTATATATAGACCATAAAATGATGCCTTGAAGGGATACCTTTTAGAATAAAACTTATTAAATAAAAGGTCACAACCATATGTTGGTTCATGAACCAACATAATTTAAATAAATACAATGAATTTAGTGTGTAGGTTCATTTAACGTTTTAACTTCCCACATGACCCTTTGTTAAATACAATGTATTTAGTATGTAGGTTCATTTAATGTTTTAACTTCCTACATAACCCTTCATATAAATATATTAATTTATATGAAAACACAACCATTCAAATAAATTTATTAATTTATATGAAAACATAACCTCTCATTTAAATTTATTAATCTAATAAATTTATGTAAGTACATGAATTTTTAAAAAAACATCTTTTCATTTAAAAATATTCCAACAATCCCCCACCATTTTTAAAATTAACCCAAACTCTTATCACTTCGGAAATCTCATGTTTTCAGTAAAGGTATCTCAAGGATTTGAACCTTTACCTAAGTAAGACATGGTTTAACCCATTCAAAATAATATGGTAGACTAAGCTTTGAACCGATTATCCCATATGAACAGGTGTGCATGACTAACGCATGGGATCTCGAACCATTGTATGCTACTTAAAATGACACGTTTATAGCCTTGTGTCCATATCCTTTTCATGAAGAGTTTTCAGAGTCAAGCCCTTAGATTCCTAGAAGCGGCCCCACTTCACTCTCATATAGGTAGACTCCGTCAAGAGCACCACCATGATTAATGCTCCAGCAAAATATATGCTTACAGGTCCATTAAGAGCCAAATTAAAGCTCAACCTTTCCCTCTTTTAAATCTCATGGTTACCAAGTACTTTTCAACCTTGGGATGTATAAATATGTCAAGTACTTGCAATCACTCTAATAGCGTACTTTCACCATTGAACGCAAGACTTGATATGATGGTTGAGTGTGAGTTGGGTTTCTGCTATCGGTGATTAAGGTTTATAGGGCTTCAATTCCATCCCCTTTGATGTTTTCAACATCATTTCCCTTGCTAAACCTTTCGTCAAAGGATCTGCAAAATTTAATTCAAATCTTATATAACTTATGGAGATTACTCCATTTATAATTAGATCCTTCATAGAACTATGTCTCAACCTAATATGTCGTGATTTCCCATTATACACTTGGCTATAAGCCCTTGAAAGAGTAGACTGACTATCACAATGGATAGATATTGGTGTCATTAGCTTAGGCCATATAGGAATTCCAAGTAACAAGTTTCTAAGCCATTCCGCTTCCTTACTACCTGCAGCCAATGCTATAAACTCAAAATATATGGTAGAGTCTGCAATGCAAGTTTGTTTCTTAGATCCCCAAGAAACAACACCCCCACCTAAAGTGAAGACTCATCCACTTGTGGAAGCATGATCCTCTGAGTAACTTATCTAACTGGCATCTGTATATCCTTGTAAAATTGAAGGATTACCACTATAGGTCAAACTATAGTTGATTGTTCCTTTCAGGTACCTTAGCACTCTATCCACGGCATGCCAGTGATTATGAGTTGGATTGCTTGTGTATCTACTTAACCTTCCCATAGCATATGCTATATCTGGTCTTGTACATGTCATAGCATACATTAAGCATCCAATTACCTTTGAATAATCATGTTGTCTCACAGGACAACCTTTATTTGGTACTAACTTCATACTGGAATCAAATGGAGTAGAAACAGAACAACGATCAAAACAATTAAACTTCTTTAATATTTTCTCAATATAATGAGATTATGAAAGACCAAGACAATTATTATCCCTAATAACCTTGATTCCTAGTATGACATCTGCTTCTCCCATATCTTTCATGTCAAAATTTTTAGACAAAAATTTCTTTGTTTGATTTACTTCATTCAAATCAGTGCCAAAAATTAACATATCATCTACATACAAACAAATCATGACACCTTTCCCATTATAAAATTTACTATAAACACATTTGTCAGATTCATTGATTTTATATCCATTTGCTAGAACTACGTCATCAAATTTTTTGTGCCATTGCTTAAGGGCTTGCTTAAGTCCATAAAAAGACTTAATTGACTTACACACCTTGTGTTCCTGACCAAGAACCACAAATCATTCTGGTTGTGTCATATACACTTCGTCTTCCAACTCTCCATTAAGAAAAGCTGTTTTAATATCTATTTGATGGATAATAAGATTGTATGTGGAACCAAGTGTTATTAGCACTCTGATTGTAGAAATCCTTGCAACCGGTGCATATGTATCAAAATAGTTTATTCCTTCTTTTTGTGTAAAGCCCTTAGCAACCAACCTAGCTTTAAACTTATCTATAGATCCATACACTTTTAATTTCCTTTTGAAAATCCATTTACAACTAATAGGTTTAGAACCAAGCGGGAGGTCTACTAATTTCCAAGTTTTATTTCTCATTATTGAATCCATTTCATCTTGTACAGCCTCTTTTCAAAAAGCTGCATCTTGAGACTTCATACCCTCCTCAAATGTTTCAGGATCATTTTCTAAATTAAAACAAACAGATGAACAATTTTTAATTTCTTCCCTTGACCCCTCAACAAGAAACATGAAGAAATCTGAATTATAAGTGTTTGCTTTTCTAGCTCTTTTACTTCTTCTAAGTTTTTTTTCTTCCAAGTCATTGTCAACAGATTCATTCTTCTCTTGATTTGTTTTCTCATTGGAATGAAAAACACCATTGGATTTAAGAATTGAGTTGAACCTTTCTTCTTGAAACATTGCATCCCTTGATTCAATGACTTTATTAACAGGATATGAATTATTTGGTTCAATAACCAAGAATCGATATGCCTTACTATTTTCAGCATATCTTAAAAAGATGCATTCAACTCCTCTTTCACTCAATTTCTTCCTTTTGCATTCTGGAACTTTAACTATTGCTCTACATTCCTAAACTCTAAAATAATTGAGATTGGATTTTCTTTTCTTCCATAATTCATATGGGGTTATCTTGTTCCTTTTATTGGGAACTCTATTTAATATATAACATGCAGTTAGCAATACTTCATCCCAATATCCATTAGACAAACCAGAGTAAGATAACATGGCATTCACCATGTCAACTAAAACTCTATTTTTCTTTAGCTATACCATTTTTTGTGGGGGAATAAGGAGCAGTTACTTGATGTATTATGCCAACAGACTCAAAATATTTTGGATCAAAATATTCTCCTCCTCTATCCGTCCTTAAACATTTTACAAAGGTTTCACATTGAAGTTTTACTTCAGTTTTAAAGATCTTAAATTTGTCTAAGACTTCATCCTTCGAATGCATTAAATAGACATAGCAATATCTAGTGCAATCATCAATGAAAGTCACAAAATACTTTTTACCACCCAAAGTAGGCCAACCATGCAAATCACAAATATCAAAATAATCAATTCTAATATTTTAGAACTTCTTTCTACTCTAGGAAAATGTTTTCTTGTTATTTTAGTCAACATGCAAGTAGTGTAAGAGTCATGATTAATAGCAGCTTTTGGAATCAATTCAAGTTTCATCATATCATTCTTTTGCCAAAATTAACATGACCCAAATGATAATGTCATAAATCACAAGAGTCAATATAAGCAGAACTATAAATACTGTTATTAACTTTAACAACATTACATCTAAACATGTTATCACAAAAATAACCTTGGCCCACAAATGTTCCACCCTTAGTGAGAACAAACTTATCTCTCTCAAATATAGACTTAAACCCAAACTTATTAAGTAAAGATACAGAAATTAAATTCTTCCTAACTTCCGGTACATAATAGACATCTCTTAAAGTAAGAGTTTTTCCAGAAGTGAATTCAACTTCCACGGTCCCTTTGCCCTTGACTTGGACAGCTGATGCATTTCCCATATAAAGTACATCCCCATCTTCCTCCTTCAATGTTTTGAAAAGTTCTTGTTTTTGTACACATGACGTGTGGCACTAGAGTCCACCCACCATGATTCATTATTATCAACTAGGTGGATTTCAAAAATTAATGTCACAAAATTGTCTTCTTTTGTAGATGACTTGTTCTCTTTCTCTTTCTTTTTTTTGAAAAAACGACAGTTTTTCTTGAAATGACCACCTTTTCCACAAAAGAAGCAATTACCTTTCCTTTTCTTATTCTTGTGACCATCCTATGCTTGGGGTTTGTCTTTATCCTTCCCTCTTTTCTTTGAGGTCTTATTGGATTGTCCTTCCTCTACCACATGTACCTTCTCTTGAGTATTGGCTTTCTTTTCAGTGTTTTGCTTTCTATACTCATCTTCTAAACGAAGATAATTTCCCAATTGTTCAAGAGAGATATCTTCCTTTTTATGTTTGAAACTCTTTTTGAAGTCTTTCCATGAAGGAGAAAGTTTGTCTATGATTGAGGAGACAATAATAGACTCATCCATATGCATTTTATGTTGATTGAAATTATTCAAAATATGTTCAATTTCATGCATTTGCTCCATGATAGACTTTCCATCAAGCATTTTATAACTATTGAAACGAGTGACAAGAAATTTCTTACTTGTAGCATCTTTTTGCATGTACCTTGCCTCAGGTTTGTCCCAAAGATCATTTGCAGAGGTTGTATCTTGATAAATATCAAAGAGAGTGTCACAAAGGCTGTTGAGGATATGTCCAGTGCAGATATAGTCATCATTCTCCCACTTCTGTCTCTCTCTAATTTCAGCAATGGTCTCATCCTCTTTTTCTTGAGGCTTGGGAGTGGTGAGAACATAGGCCACGTTCAAAGTTGTGAGAAGAAATTTCATCTTCCTCTGCCATCTTAAAAAGTTGCCTCCTTCAAATCTCTCCAACTTCACAAAATTTACAGTCAACTCCTTCAAAGAAGCTATTTGTACTTGCGGATTAATCCTAAAGACTGTTCATGGGAATGGTTCTCTAAAGAGTATAAGAAGAAGAGATGAAGAAGAAAATAGTGCATGATGTCTTCAAGGCGTGGGCAGCACTTTCTTTTAGGCTTAATTCGCCCCCACCTATTCCTATCTTTTAGGGTGCAAGTTGAGTTGACTAGCAAATTTCCTTCAGGATACAATGAAGACCATTGAATATGGATTGCACTTCCAAAATTCAAGTAAAAGCAATAATGGCTTTTACAAAGTGATAATTTGACTCTATCTTTGTATGCACTCAAAGACAAAGGCAATGAATTTGATCTTAATGTTCATGTTGTGTTTTCTCCAAATGAAGTGATGGTGAAGGGTTTATATAGACCATAAAATGATACCTTGAAAAGATACTTTTTAGAATAAAACTTATTAAATAAAAGGTCACAACCATATGTTGGTTCATGAACCAACATAATTTAAATAAATACAATGAATTTAGTATGTAGGTTCATTTAACGTTTTAACTTTCTAGATGACCCTTTGTTAAATACAATGTATTTAATATGTAGGTTCATTTAATGGTTTAACTTCCTATATAACCCTTCATATAAATATATTAATTTATATGAAGACACAACCTTTTAAATAAATTTATTAATTTATATGAAGACATAACCCCTCATATTTATTAATATAATAAATTTATATAAGGACATGACTTTTCAAAAAACATATTTCTTTATTTTAAAAATATTCCAACACGTTGAACTATAAATTATAAGTTTCATAACCTTTTTGGGTTCTCTATTATTTAGTTAGCTAATAAATTAATAAGTTGTGAACTGAAAAATGAGTAATATTAAATTGGAATTAACAAGTTTCATGAATTTTTTTTGTCACAGATGGATATATGAGTAATTTCACGATATTATCAAAATGGCGATTCAAGCCTTACTTCCTTTACTATCATTTTTAAGTATTAGTTGTCTGGATTGGAATTTTACATATTCAAACTTTTTCTTTACAGATTTTCCCTTTTTATTTTTATATTAAATTTCACATTATAAAAATACATATATTGAAAAAGAGGTGAAAAGCTATGCTTATCCGTTAGCCTCTGCCCAAGCTCCTTTTTTGAGCTTATCAAAGGGGAGCTGAAAAATTTTTAGATTAACATCATTGTTAATCCTTACGATTTGACCGGATTTTGATTTTATTCTCGTAATTTCAATTTGTTAATTTTGGCTTTTAGACTTTCATAAGAATTTGATTTAGGGATTTACCGAAAGTGCAAAACACAACATGTGGCTTGGCTCGAGATGCCCGATGCCAAGCAAGGCAAGCGTACGGAGCCATTAGTTGGCTATGGCCAAGAAAAAAAGGAAAAAAAATTGTTATTACCGACTCAGCATGACGTAACTTCTCGTATCTTTAACTAATATAGTAGTACAATACTATAATGTTAACATAAAATTTAATCTTATTTTACTTGTGGTTTTTGTAAATTTAAAGCTAATGGCTTTGCTTATTCAAATTTAACTTCATTTTATTTTTCCCTAAAATTTGAAATTGATTCATAAAATTTGACTTTATTTCAATTTCAATCTTTAAAAAAATTCTGACAGTCTTTAATATAAAACCCAATTAATTAATTTAAATAGATAAAAAATAGGGGAAATTACAAAAAAAGACTTTGGAATTGTAAAAACGCAGATAGGGACCCTTGACAACTTCACTTTGGGTTTTGACAAGAATAATATGCCCTGAAGTTGTCAAAACCCAAAGTGAAGTTGTCAAGGGTCCCTATCTGCGTTTTTGCAATTCCAAGGTCTTTTTTTGTAATTTTCCCTTGAAAAATATTAGTTAAATTAATTAATATGATATGTTTCTTCTAAAACACTTAGGGTGTGTTTGGATAGAAACCAAACCATGGTTTCAGAAGTGCTTTTACGGATTACGAAGTAAATATGTGGAGGAGATTATCTCGTTTTGCGGAAAAGTGCTTCTGAAACCATGGTTTTGAGATATCCAAACAGGCCCTTAATCAACTTCCTTAATTTCTTCTCTTTCTCTCCTATGTGATTATTGTTGAAGTAACAACACTAAAAAATTAATTTAAAAAAATATTGATAAACATGTGATATAACCCTTATATATAAGATAATTTGATTAAAAAAAATTAAAGAAACATGTAACATAAGTTTTACATATAATATTAATATTAAATCTTAAATTAGATCTACGTTGGTAACAAGAAGAGCAATATTCTAAGGTCTAAAACCCTTTAAATAGACTAAAATAACCAAAACCTTTAAGTTCAAATTTTACGGAGAGTAAAAATACTATTAACCCATTTATGTTTGTTGTAATTTATGTGGATTCAACAACTTTTTTCAGTTACAAAAGAAATTAAAAGAATAGAAAATTTACTCAATTGAATTTTAATACAATAAAAAATAAAGAGAATCATCAAAAGGTCTTAACAAAAAATTTAATTACAAAAAATCCTAATGATAAGCGATGAACCTAAAGTTATTATTATTTCTTACTTATCATTACTTATTCTTAATCTTCACTTGTTAATAAATTTTAAGAGAATTAAATTTTTTTTGCTGGGACTTGTAATTCTGCCTAAAATATATCACTAAATCTAAATAGCGTGATATGCAAACACACATAAAGTATGCCTATAATTTATATTTGCAGTAACTTTTGGGGGATTTAACTTTTTAGTTCAAAAAGGAGGAGTGAAAAAGCTACTCGTAAATCCATCATCATCATCATTATCATCTAGAAAAGTAAAAAAAAAGGGAAGTTGAAAAGTTTCTTGTTCACAGGTTAAAATTTCTATGGACTTGTCAATCATACCTCCTTGGCTACTTGTATGGACTTTTTTGGCAAAATCATGTTCATATTTATATCCTACGTAAGCAAAATCAGAAAAAGCTTCTCCACCAAACATACACCGTCAGATCTTCTCCTGATTTATTCTCAACCATCCGATCATCCTCCCACCTGCTGCGTCTTCACAACTCCACCGGGACGAACGGAGCCACCACCGTAGATGGCGGCGGATCGTAGCAGAATGGTGCCGCCGGATGCTGCCACTTCTGGAAAACCACATTCTCCGGCTCCGCACTAGGAAGCCTTTTCTGTTGCTGCGGCTGCTCTTTCGGCGGCGCTCCTTCCGTCGAAGTCACCACCGGCGGTAGTTCCTCCATCGTCGGCGACAAAAGTGGAATCGCAACGTTCCACTCGCACGACCGATTTATCAATAACGATGACGGTGCACGCCGCTGCAATCGACTCGGCTGCTGCCGGCTTCCGGCGCTGAGTTTACTAATCTGAGGATCTGCCATCCTGGCGAGTATCGATCGAATTAACAGAAGAGAAGAGAGTCCGTTAGGTCGTTCAGGAACGGGTCGGATCGGCTAACGCAAAACGGATCTGAAGAGTAGAAAAGAGATACAGCCACGAGGGCGAGAAAGAAAACTGAGACGAAAGAGAATCTGTTTTTGAGTTTGAGAGATGCGTTTGGTGAGGCATATATGTATGCGAGCGCCGAGAAGCAGCCTCTGGGAGAGTGCGAGAGTGACGCGCACATGCGCGTGTCAGGCTCTGTCTCCAAAAAAAGTTATTTTCTTTCTTTTTTTTTTATGGAAAAAGTTATTTTCACTGGTAAGTAATTATTCTAAAAGCTACAGTAGTAAATATTTCATGATCTTATTTATTTATAAACTATAAATAAAATTTTATAATTAGAATTGAAAATAGTAATTATTATTTTTTCAATGTTCTACAAATTTTTGTCTTTTTTTTCTTTGCCATCCCCGCCCAAATAAATATTTCATTGCAATTTTTTTTGACATTGATATTTCATTGTAATATTAAGACTTATGAATATTGTGAATTTATATGAACGTTACCTTCTATATTAACATTAATTAATACTAATTGACTGGATTGGTTTCGTTTAATTTGGTTAATTTACTTGTACAATATTTCCATTAATATAGATATCTTAATAAATAAGATTTTGGATAACTTTTTAACAGGATTGATAACTCTCTGTTCCTTTCTAGTGTTTTTTTAAAAAAACATGTACAAAATATTTCAGTTGCTACGGTTATTTTGAACTGATATTATTTTAAGATGACATCAAGTTACTTGTATTTATTATTTTAAATTCTAAATCATGCATGTCTATGTGTATTATTTTTAAAATATTAGTATTTTATAGTAATCGATTCTAAACCCATATAAAAAAATAAAAACACATAGTTATGTGTGATTAGAAAACTTGACATGAATATAAGAAACTTAATCCAAGTATTTTTCATTTTAAAGGATATAGAAAACTTGACTCAAATATTTTTCATTCTAAAAGATAACACTTACATTAAGTTCTTTATATTTATTATGTTAAGTTCTTCATGACTATGTGCACTATTTTTAGAATATTAACATTTAATTATACACTTACATTGATATAATGGATACAAATAACTTAGTCTAGGTATTTTCCATTGCAAATAATGAGTTGCTTGTTTACAAACTATAAGAGTAAGAAATACAACTCCTGTTTTTTTTTTAATCATGTAACATGTAATACAATTTTTTTAAAAAAAATGTTTTGCCAAAAAAGAACAAGGACTTTATTATTTTGATATGAATTTATTGGATTATTAATGTAAATCTAAAGTGGATCAGATTAATGCACTACACGTTCTCATCTGGAAGATTCTCAAATTTACAAGATTAATCAGGCTAGGAATTCAAACTTCAGTATCACTAATTAAAATTTGCTAATAATTACGCTTTGACTCTAATCATTATAATCTGAAAATTTATAAAAATAACATAACCATAATAAGGTTATGAATGGATAGAATAATTTAGCCGATCAACTCTCATTCAAAAAAATAGCTGATCACAAATTAAAATTATAATACTCCTCCTATTCTAATTGTAATTTATACTACAAAATGGATCATATATTTAAAACTAAAAGGAGTATTAAAATACTCCTCCAAGCTTTAATGTAAAACCTATTTTGTAGTACAATTTATACTATAAAATAGGTCTTATATTAAGGACCAGAGGGTGTACAACGTAATTAAGCCAGTAAATTGATAGCCAATCCTCTAACTGATTTGTGTAGGAGCTTTTGGACAATTTAACTAAGTTAAATTTTATGGTTTTCTCCTCCCCTTACCAAGTTTGGATTGATGGGATTTTCAGTATAAGAATATACTAGCAGTCTATTTTTTTTGGTAACTCAGCATATATTACAGTTATTTTGAACCTAAAACTAATTTTTATTAGATTATAAACGTTAAGGTTAAAGCCGTTTCAACCACAAGGACACTTCTCAAATTTTCAGGAAAAGAACATGGTAGCAGTCCGTTTGGCAACTTTACTTTTTGGGATTATATATGGTTTACACTTAAATGTTGCATTTACTTATGGATCAATGTCTTCTTTTATTAAAATAATACTTTTTTCACGGTCATATATGCATATTTTTATACATTTTAATTAAATTATATTATTTTAATCGAGCAAATCCTGCTAACTTTTGAATCATTGTTCTAACATGTTTAATAACCGGTTTGATTTTCAATAGTAGCAATTAAAATTGAATTGAAATAAAAACTTCAAAATATAATCAAAGTTTCTTAAATAAACCCAAAAATTCTGTCTTTTTTTTTTAAAAAAAATCAGAAATCATCGGTCAAAAGTCAGAAATAGCTGGTGATAACTAATAATAATAATAATATAGGGTTGTCTTTTGGGTTGAAGGTTAATGCTCCAAACAAGTGATTGAGATAAGCGAAACCACCGGCCCTTTGACTGTCGAGCTTGTGATTGTGGCCTTCAATGTTTAACGTCCGCATCACCCCCACGTTCGCCATCAGTTTCACCATCATCACACAAACCTAACCAATTAGATTAGACCATAAATCATCAACGGTCAGATTTCTCCGCCATCCAACGGCTTGTGGTTGGCTACGTGGTCAATTTTCTAACCAATGCTTATCCCGACACGTGTCACCCCCTTCTTGCACGTTATCCCTGTTGTCGTTTGATGGTCAAATTAAAGAGTTCCAATAAAAATTAATGTTCTCAGATTACATTTGAATGACGTTAAATGCTTGTTGGTGTCATTGTCGCAGCAAGGTTGGGTCAAAATCTGATGGCCAACCTCCAAGTTGTGCCATTTGCTGATGGTTTTTGCTTCTAACACTTTCCTGTTCAACCCTCACAATTGAATAAACCATCTCAAGCTTTGGTTTTAATGGAAGACCCGTTTTAGAATCAGCATTATTATCTACTCTTCTGATCCTTAATATAAGACCCAATTGTTAAGTTAGTTTTTATCCTACATATAGAACCATTTATCATTTTATCAGTTTTCTCTAAATTACCCTTATGAATACTCCCTCAACCATAATCAAGTAGAAGAGGGAGATGAGGTATTAAGAAAGATGATTATGGTGTTTTAAAAAAAAACGTATCACATTTTTTATAATTAATTAACTTACCTAACTTTCTTAATTTAATCAAATTAGTTAAATAGGTCTTATATTAAGAACGAAAGAGTAATTTGGGATCTACAATTTTCGAGAATGTAGTACGTGATTTATAACAGTATGATCATGAAATACGGAGGCTATGCCTTAATTCTAAAGAGTGGTGATTTGGTAAACCCAACTTTTTTAGCATGTGTTTAGATTACCGTTCTGAACCTAAAACATGTTTTAGAACTTGTGAAAAGTTACATTTTGAAAGAGAAGCTATTTTTTAGTGTTTGAATTAAGCAGTTGTTCAGAACGAACTTTCATGTCAAACCCTACATTGAGCCAAAACTACTTTTTTTTGGCTTGTTAGTGTTGTTAGAATACTTCTTCACTGAACCTATATCATCACCAGGCAATAATGAAAATAGATGTAAAATAATTTTTAACATATTTTGTAATATTTTAATTTTTAATAGTAGTGTTTTTTTTATACATTATATATATTTACATAAACATATATTTTTATTTTTATTCATTAAAAAGACTTAGAATAAATTTTTTTAATATGTTTTTTATATTTTTATGAATTTCATATTTACATATAATTATATTTTATTTACTGAATATATTTTTTAGAATTTATAATTTTTAATAATACTTTAATTCCTTTTATTTTTGTAATACCTATGTCCTTTTTAGTCATTTTGCATCTAAACATGCTATTTTATTACATCTACCCGTCGGATGTGTTCAGATTAGCGGTGCCAAAAGTCACTTTTATTCTAATTGACTTTTGCAAATTTAAGTTAAAGATAAAAGTCAGGTAGTATAATGTGATTTATGTTTGAATTGATACTTATAAAAAGTCAGTTAAAAAATTAAAATTTATTAGGATAATTAATAAAAAATATAATTTTCCATATAAAATGAGTAAAACGAACATGAATTTTATTGAATAATAATGTTTTATATTATATGATTTTAGTGTGATACTTGTTAAAAAATAATTATAATTATAATTATAAAATAAAAATATCTTTTAGTGAGAAAATTATAATAGGGATTTTAAATTAATAAAAAGGATTTAAATTAAAGGGTTTATATACAAAATTAATTTGCAAAGTGCTGCTACCATGTGTGTATAAAAAATTTATTAAGTCTTCATCACCAATTAAATTTTTAATGAAGAAATTTTTTCCAATTTTCTCTCAATTTATTATTTAATTTTTTTTGGATACTTTTATAAACATACTTTTCTAGTTCTATTTATAAGATACTTTCAACTTGTTTAACACAGACTAAAAAAAACTTTAAACTGCATTAACTCTCTATTAAAATATAATAACTTTTCAACTTTATCCTATTTAATATATGTACCTTTTTAGAAAAATAACTATATACACTATAATAAATGAAGGAAAAAATTGTATATTCATGTCAAAAATTTAATGAAGTGACTTATAAATAGAATCAAGAAAAACCTTCTCTTTCTACCTTATAAATAAGACTATAGGAATATATATTGATTGAGTATTTTTGGAGTAATTTTTATTTTTGTTAAGGTAAAATAGGACACATTTTAATGTACTCATCTCTCATCTCATGGTCATCTTTTTTCTCTCTTCACGTTGGCTTTTTTCTAAAAGCTACAAAATTTGACTGTTGTTTCAATCTAGCTTATTCTCAAAAGCTCATTTGCTCAAAAGTTAATCCAAATAATATATTACCTTTAAATAAGCCACTAACTGAAATTTCACTCTTTCCAATGCACATTCTCCCTTCCCAACGGCATTCCAAACACGCCTTAAGTTAGACAATTGAGTTAAGGTGTAATTTGTTTTGAAAAATTTTACTCATGACTAATGTTGTCCCCAAAGTTTTTTGAGTTCAATGTCATTCTGAAAATTTCAAAACATAGCAATGTTGTCATAACCTGTTAAAAAAACTAATACTAATTATTAAAATATTGACATTAACCATTAATATTTTTAATAATAAGAGACAATATTACTCTATTTTAATACTTTTGAGG